CATTTCTCACATCAGACCAAGCCTGGCTATTTGTCTAGAGAAAGTAAAGTTTTATGCACAAAACTTGAACTTCATCTTTGAATTGCTCGAATGTGTACCTCCAAATCTCTCTCTTCACACTCATTCACAGACACCCAGAGAAGTTAGATGACTCCCACGCAAATTCCAATCAACCTCTGTTGCCTAACACCTCCATCTCTTAAAAATTTAGCTTTTTGATATCCTGGATAAATCTGGCAGAAAAAGTAACACTTGCTGGGAACACTTAAGACATGTCTCCACAGGCAAAATAATTTAGGATGTGAATTTGAAGTGCACTGACTATTCCTCTTGAACTTGTTTTGTGGACACACCTTTTATGCTCTAAAAACTAAAATAGCCATAGGTTCTTCAGTTCAAACCATGCATGTAAAAGCAACACACACTCCATACAGAAAAAACCTTGACACACAACATGTCAGCAGTTAAATAGTTATTCCATACTCTTCCCCTGCAGAGGCAAATAGGTTAAACTTTGAAATTCAGACATTACCCTTCCACGTATGCAGAATTTACTGTAGAACAGTTTGGCAAACTTTGAAGCTGAACTGCCAGTTGCCTCAAAATAACTCCAAACTGAGCTTAAAATGATGAAAGCAACCGTAAGAGTTATTTACAAAACTCTCATTTTAAAGATTTTTACATTAAACTGGGCTTTAATGTACAGCATCCCTATTCTTTAAGGTATATGGGGATTAATCCACCAGTACATTAATGTTGCTTATAAAGGGAAAAAACATAGATACTACTTCTCCAGAAGCTTGATTCAATGGAGAAAACTAACAATTAACAGTTTATCTTAAAAACAAACAAACAAAAAAGACAAAACAAAACAAAGCACCCAACATACAAACAAAAAACTACCACCTTCCAGTGAAAAAGAAAACATTTCCCTTGGCTGTGGAAGAGAACTGCAAATAGTTAGGTCTTGGGATTGATTACATCTCCCAGTTTCAAAGCAAACAGGTACTGAACACCAGTAATGGATAAAACCGCTTTAAGAATGAAACAACATCTGTCAGTCTCTTCTCCCAATAATTAGTCGATTTAACTTGCACTAAACACATTAGCAATAAATACTCACTAGAAGCATGGCACAAATAGTGGACACACAACAGGAAGAAGTTATCACAAAGGACAAAATTTATGATGTCCTGATTATTAACTGTATCATTGAAAAAGATATTAGAATAATGACTTTAATCCATTTGCCATGGTACAATGTCATGGGTAAATTAAGAATCTATAACACATATCCCCACGATATCTGACTGAAGCAGCAAAACGAGTTCCAACTCTAGAATTTTTTATCTTATTAGTAAGAAACGAAATCAGACAACTACACACCAAAAACATAAAGCTTGCCAGATCCACTCACACCAAGAAGCATGCAAAGGAAACCAGCTCACATTAAAAAAAAAATTAAAATTATAAGTGAACCGTAAGGTTTGAGTTTCCTTCCTTTCAAATACTTTGTTTCTTTAAATTACATCTGATGGCTTTGGGATTTAAACTGAACATGCAGGCTGTGAAAGGAGAATGCACGGCAGGAAAAACTGAACTAACCATGTAAAAGGCAGAATGGAAAGGAGCCAGATACAATAAAAAACTGACAAGGGAAATAGGCCTGGTTCTAGATTAAGAGACAATTTCAAAGTATAAAGAAATCATACCCTCCTGTAAAGATTTATTTTCACCTCATATCTTAGAAAGCCTAGGATGTGGAATTGCAATTTGTACTACTTTGCTTGCATAATTACACACACAACGTTATTTAAGCAGGCACCATATGCACATACAAAAAAAGAAAACTAATAGCAAATTCTGGAGTATTCTGTAATTGTGTATCAAGGAATTCTTTATTTGCACACAGTGAGGCGTCAGTTTTACCTCATTTTTTAATGAAATCGTATATATCCCAATTAGAAGCTTTGGAAGTACATCACATTTTCAAGCAAATGACAACAGTGCTGATCCACTCACATCGTTACACTGTTATTTTTATCCACAGCATTCAGATCACGTGCAGTATCAATCTAAATTTCCAAATGGCCTTCTCACCTTAAAAGTACTACTGATTTTATCACTAGATAGGAAGCAGAGTATGCATTTTAAATCATTCCAAGACAACAGTATATTTTCACAAACAGAGTAGAGGCAAAATAAATGAAAAATCCCATAATCCAGACTTCAGCCAGGTAGCCAAAAGATTCCTAAAATAAGTGTGACCCATATTAATTTGGGGGTGGGTGTTGTTTGTTTACAATTTTTTCTGGACACAGCAGAAACACTAACACACATTCTCTTCTCTCTCAGTGTTTTTTAAATTACAATCAATTTACAAGCCTGTAGCTAAATACTCAAGAATTCATTAAATAAATTAATTCGTTAAATATTTAAGAATTCATTTCTTTTTTTACTATTTTTTAAAAGAAGATTAATTTTCCAATATTAAATGCAAATTATACTTTTGACTCTTCTCCTTAAGAGTTGCCTCTACCCAAGTTTACTAGTATTATTTTATCTTTTTAATTCAGAATACGTATTCTGACAATTACACTGGATGTAGTTTTATCACTTTCACTGAGGTTCCAGACCTCAAGTCCACAGTCTAACCCATCTTAGTGGATATCAAGGCATACAACTAGAAAAAGACTGACAATTAAACTGCCTACTATTATCAGTTACAGAAATTTATGTTTTAGAAAATTTCATTGTTTCTTGCTTGGAGCTCCACAGAACCTATTCCATCCTCCAACAGATTTCTTTCTTAGTTTCGCCTCATCCACAATTAGACTTGCATAGCATCATTCCAAAGTCTTTAACTGATCTCTGTGAAAATGGATACAATACCTACTTAATAATTCTGTTCATTGTTTTTCTTTTAATCTTTAGCTCAACAAAACTCTTGCACATTTACTTTGAGTTAAAAAGAAAATCCAGGCACTCTAACAACTTGTAATCGGTGTTTTCATCACTCCCCTGTGAAGCACCCCCTCTATGTTTTGCATACATTTTATACAAGATTTTACCGGTTTGGATACACTTTATACAAGATTTTAGTCTGCCTCACCCTTCCTCCTCGCAGATGTAGCTGCTTTTCTGAAATTACTACTTAAATTATGCCAGTGCTAGAGCAACTCGTCCATTTAAAGACTGACTTATCCACTCCAGAAAAGTTGTACAGGTCATACTGAGATGTTAAATGTATAGACACATTTATAGATAGATACATTTACAGATGCTCTCTTAAATCAGATACCATTTCAATGAGCCCAGCATTGCTCTCCATGGACCTCGCTGACAGCATGAACAGAAGGTTGGTAGCAGCTTTAACATTAAAATAAATCTCCTGTTACCGTCCTACAGTTTCTGTTATCAGTGGTCTTGTTTCCTAATGTATGTATTATTCAAACATCAAATCATTAAGAGTTGTATTTACAGTATGCAGTCCATTTCCTCCACTTTTTAAAAAATCTGGTAAGTTGAATTTTGAGTGGATAAGTAATACTGCAAAAATTACCAACTCAACTCAGTGAACTTCCTTGCTTAGCAAAAGCCAGATTCTGTTCATGAGATTTTCAGCATCCCTGCTGGGAAAAATGTTATTCCCTCTTAAGCTTCAAAGATACTTCTCTACGAGTCAGTAAAGATGCATCTATGGAGCACTAACTGTAGAATTACAGAACTTTCAGATTACAGCCAACACTAAAGTTTTCCACAGCACTTTTGCTCGAACACAATGTAAATCGGACATTTATTAAGTGTGCCTTCTATCAGTATTGCAGCCATTTTTAGAAATAACTCTCACTCTTCAATCACATGAATATAGTACTGTTATCTAAAATTAGTTTGCAGTTTTAACATTACAGCCGTGAATTTATTAAAATGCATGCAGGATCTATACAGCTAAAGAAGCTGAATTATCTTGTGAATGGTGACAGAACACTTTTTGACTAATTGTGAGAGGAATTTTAAAGTGCACCAAACTTTCCTGGGAACACTGTTGGACTGCACTAGATTCTAGACGTGGCTTATTCTGACATAAGCTGCTTTACAGAAAGTGGCCATTAGCTTGCACTCCCTCTATATAAAATGCAGCTCATGCATTCAATAATGCACTACAAAAACTCCCTTCTCCCTAAGCCAAAGTTTCTTTGTAGGTAAGAAGTAGTGTGGGAATACGTACATTTCACCTCTGAATGTTGCAGTGCTGTGGAACTAACAAAAAAACAATTTAAATGCATATATTCAAAGAAATCACCGTATTTCAGCCTGTTGGCAATTCTAGCAAGAAAGGAAAAAAACACAGCGGGGGGGGAGGGAGGAAATTGAGCTTGAATTTCAAGTCTCTGGCCTGAGTTTACACACCACTGCTTTAGCTCATTTTAAGGTGAGCAGAAACACTTCATGACTTTTTGATGGTGTGGATTTTCAGTGTCTGACACTTTTCAAGGTGAAATTACATATTAAATTATTACATATTAAATTATTACATATTAAATTATTACATATTAAATTATTACATATTAAATTATTACATATTAATTTTTACATATTTCCTCTGAAGTTAAAATCTTGAATCTTTCCAAAGTTCCAGACAAAAATAGCAGTTGGCATCTCACGGAACATTTTACTGACACAGATTTCTCCACAGGTTGTTTAACTTTAATTGTTACTTTCATTTCTCATGGAGACAGAGGAAGGAAAAAATATTTTTGCTATTTTTTTTTTGTCTTTTGTAAAGGAAACTACACAACATGAAATGTAATGTTTTTTATGTAATAGCCAGTACTTGATAAAGTACTAGCTCTCAAAAACACTCACACGTCACACAAAACTTTTGAGTCCTAAAGCAGTGGAAACACATTTTCTGAAAGACTTTGTAGCTCTTAAATATTCACATGTTAATAGTCTATAGTGAGACTACTTATAGTACACTATGTACAAGTAATACTCACCCTTCTGAAGATGCTTTATTGTTACCACAAATAAACATTCCCCGGACTCTCAATTTGATATAGACACTGGGGACAAACAAAGAACGACTTTAAATTTTTATAAGTCGCATAAAGAATCTGAATGTGCCAATCCCTACAAAAAGATTAATACATCTATGAGAAAAATCCCAATTTAGAAGTGAAGATTACACTAAATCTGCTGGTAAAAACTCTTCACTGAAATCTATATTAGTAATAACCAAACTCACAATAGCTGAAACTACAGTTGCTAGACTTCAGCAAAGACACTCTTATCCTGCAATAATTAAATTACGTTCTTCAAATTGTTAAATGTTTCTTGTCAGAGACTCTTTACTTCTAGCTTTTAAAAAAAAAAAAAAAACCACAAACTTTTCTCTTGTTCCAATAAAATCAGTGTAATGCTTTTGTAAGTTAGAAATAAGTATCTTGAATAATGTACAAGTTTATTATCCCCTTCCTGCCACATGTACACACGCACTCCTTTTCTTTTGTGTAACTAACAATTCGCGAATCACCATGAATACCTGATGTCAAATACACGTGCGTGATGCCACAACACACCTATTTCTTTATCCAACCTCACATTTGCTGCTCAGGCACGGCTTTGCCGAGTCAGTGCCCTCCTTCGCACCTCCCCAGACACTCCACTTTTAGAGGGTGCTCCGCACCGCATTAGATCCGAAACACCAGACTTTCCAGCTCCTTATGAACTTTTTTGCGGCGGTCTAGAAGATCGGGATCGCACGGCGCCCTTCCCGACTGGGAAGTTGGCCGGAGCCGCCGCCAGACTGTCTTATCCCCTCGCCCCTCCTGAAGTCGTTCCCTGAACCCGGAGCTCTCCAAAGCCAGGGCCGGGAGCCCCCAGCCCAGCCCCCGTGTCCCGAGGTGCGGGCGGGCGGCCCGGGGCGCTCCCAGCCTGCCCTCCCGGATCGCCCCGGCTTCCGGGACCCGGGCGGACCTGTCCCAGCCTCTCGGGAGGAGCGGGGCAAGCTCGGCGCCGCGCTCCCCGCCGCAGGAACACGGGTTTCCCCCGCTCACACACACGCCTCCCGCCTGCCCGCGCCGAGCCGCCGCCGGAGCCGCCGCCGGAGCCGCCGCGTGCCGCCGGCAGGAGCGGGGAGGAGGGGAAGGGAAGCGACGGGTCTACCCCCTCTCCCCGCTCTCCCTCCCGCCAGCCGACCCCCGTCCTTCGGAGGAGCGGCGGCGACCTCGCCCCCGGCCCGGGGCTGCGCCCCGCCGGGCGGGGATGGGAGCCGCCGGCCGGGCTGGACGGAGCCAACTTAGACAAAGGGCACTCCAGACTCCATGTCTCCCCCCCTCCAGCTGTCACCGGCCGGGAGCGCGCGTGTCTTCCCGCCGGCGCCCCGAGGGAAGGGGACGGGGGGAGGCTGCTCCTCAGGAGCCGCCGTCGCCCCCATCCCTCCCTCCTCTTCTCCTTCGCTGCCGCCCCCTCCCCTGCTCCCCTCCCCCATGACAAAGGACCCGGGTATAAATAGCCGCTCCCGGCGCCGCCGCCGCCTCGAGCCCGCGAGGTGTCGCTCTCTCACTCACCCGCCCCCCCGCCGCCCGGGCTCCGCGCCGCCGGTGCCGCTGCCGCCGGTGCCGGTGGCGCCGCCAGCTCCGCCCGGCGCTCCCGCTCTCCCGCGCCCTCCCCTCCCGCCGCCCGCCGGATTCACCCTCCCGGACCGAGCGCCAAACGCGCCGGCCCAATCGCCATCGCGCTCATTGGCGAGCGCCGAGCGCCGCCCCCATTGGACGGGAGGACGCGGCCGGGACCCCGGCGGGCCAATCGGGCGCGGCGGGAGGCGGGGCGAGGGGCGGGGCCCGGCTCCCCACGTGCGGGGGGGGCAGGGAGGGGTGGGGAGAACTCTTTGTTCTCGCGCTGCCCGCGCGGGGGGACGGGGGGCTCGCGCTCCCCCGCGCTCCCGCCCCAACCCCCCTCCCCGCCCCTCACGCCCCGGCTCCCCCCCCCCCCTTCCCCCCCACCGCCCAGCTCCGCACGGCGGGGCCGGGCCCGGGGCCGCGCCGCGCCGGGGAGGCTTGAAACTCTCCGTCCGCCTCACGTGGAGAAGGGGGGAGAGGGAGGGGAGAAGGCAAGGAGGGAGGCGAGAGGATTGGCGGGCACCGGGAGGGGCCGCGCTCCCGCTCCCGCTCGGCGCCGCTGCCGAGTTTGAATCGGCCCGAGAGCGGGAGAGGCGCAACGGCCGTAACGGTCCCGGGGGGCGGGAACGCCCCGAGCCTCCGGGCCGGCCGTCGGTCCGTCCCCGCCGCTCCGCCTGTTGCTCCCCTCCGACGCGGGAGCTCAGCCGCTGGAGGTCACTCCCGCCTCTCTCCGTCTTCAGCGGAGAAAAATGAAATGGCCAACATAAGTTTTCCTCATGGGTGCTTCGCCCTCCCCTTGTGATCAGATCCCTTTCCTGCGTGTCCCACACAGAGTGATGCTTCCGGGGTGCACTGGAGCAGTCGCCGCATCCTTGCTTCCACAATTCCCGTCACCCTTCCTTACCGAGTATCAGCTCCCCTCTTCCTTATGGGTGCCTCACTACATCTTCAGGGGCAAAGCTCCGCGGTGATGAGGTCCCGAGTGGTAAAAGTCTCTACTTGGTGGGAATAAATCACAGGCGCACCCGCATTCCCAAAGGATGCCGCTGGCTGACGCGCCGAACCCGTGAGTGCGGCTCAGGGATCAGGAACGAGGGGAGAGGACCGCAGCCTCCGAGGCTGGGGACAGCCCGCGCCCCCTCACACCGCCCCGCCGGGAAGCCCCGGCGGATGTCTCGGCCGGCTGAGTCACTTTCCTCGTGTCGTGTCTGTGACCTTTGCTTGCCCAAACTTTACCGGCACCAGCCCCACGCTGGTGCATCGCGGAGCCTGTCCCCGCCGCTTCCTCTCCCTCGCCGCTCCGCACCCAGCGCGATTTCCCCCTGTCGTAGGGGGTGGTCATAAATCGCGGTGCCAGCAGCAGCAGCAGCAGCAGCGAGGTGCCCGCTCAGCATCAGACTCGGATCCTGTCGCTTGCTGCGTGCTGTCTCCAGTCTCTAAGGTTGCTATCGTTTACCCCCGTTTCTAATCTGTGAGCCGTGCTCATCAATCTTGTTTCGAGGTTGTGCTTAAACCTTGAGGATTCGTGCACGTTTGCTCTGCTGTCATCCCACTTTCTGGTGGCTCCAGCCTTTCTTCACCTCCAGCAGTGGAAAGTAAAACTGCCAAAATAAGTTTCCCAATGGGTACTTTACCCTTCTTTTGCGAACAGGTCCCTTTCCTGTGCATCCCACATGGAGTGCTGCTTCCGAGGTGCACTAGAAGCCTTCCTTCTACGGTCCACTTCCGTCATCCTTCCTTACCAAGTTATCAGCTCCCCCCTTCCTTGCAAATACTTTAGTACGTCTTCAGGGTCAAAGCTCCAAAAATGAGCAGTGGCCAGTGCAATGAGGTCCTGAGTGGTAAAAGTCACTTGTGTGGAAAATAAATCACAAACACAACATTCCCAAATCAAGTAGTTGGTTTACATGTCAAATAAGGCTCAGTATTCTTTTACTTAAAGGTGATGTGCTTGTGTGCTTTTATAGTCTCTGTCTCTCTGTATGTAAGTACTTATAATTTTCAGACTTCATCAGATATTAAACTTTCAGTGAGATCTCAAGAGTGGGCATTCCTACACTGTATGTTCTTGATTTACATCATAGCTTTGAAAAGGGGGGTTCTACTAATAGCTCATTTTATTTTTTAAATCTCTGGGGTTTTGTGAGCTATGAGTAAAATGTGCAGCAGAAATGGTTTCCTGTTATGGTTACATGTTGTAGTGTAGTAGATAGCTGTGCCCTTCCTTATATTCTAGTGGAGTGGTTGACAGTTGGAAAGATTATCTTAAAAATATCACTTTTGCAAAATATTAGTAATTTCTGAAAATTCAGCTATTTTGAATCTATTCTGCCCCAAGATGTCTGCCACCACCAAAATGGCTACCCAGCCCCTTCACAGCTTAAATTTTGTGATTTATTTTGATCCTTCAGTTTGCACTTCATGGGACCTGGTCTTAGTCAGCAAGTAAAAATTACCATTGCTAAATAAGCATGGAGTAACTTTCTGTAACAGGTACAGACACAAGGTGGAAAAACCTGTGCTGTAGAACCTACCCTGTGAACTAGACCTCAGCACACATCACGTTGTTTTTCTCTCTTGCGCAGAAGATTATTCACTGGTTACACCTGAAACTGATGCTTACTGGAAAACAACACATTTTGAATGGAGTTACTCTTCCTGCTTTGCACTGTAGCAAAACAACCTTTCCACCAAGGCTCTGTTTGAGGCTCTCAGAGTGATGAACTTCTTGGCAAGGAACTCCATTAGGCGCTGATTTTCTGATCCATAGTTCAGGCTGTCTCAAACACGCAGCGGTTCGATTCTCTACACAGTGGTTTAACTCTGCAATAAACTCTGTACAAGACTTTCTGTTTTCACGGAATAAACCACTCAAATGGTTTTCTGTTTCTGCTATATTTTTCTGATTAAAGAACTACTACTTTGTAAGACAAAAGAAGGATCTGTGTCATGCAGAGACATTCAGATCGGTGCTTTAGGCAAAAATAGTGCAACAATTCTTGAAAGAATTACCAAATCTGGTATTTTGAGGAGTCATTCTGAAAGGAGTGAATTCTGATGGCAGCATGTAACCGTGCTTTTGAGAAAAGTAACCAATGTTGAAGAAATATGTACGTGTTACAATGACAATGAAATAAAGTGAGGCTCAGGAAAATGTATCAGTTTTAGACCCTTCTGGAACTGTTAAAAGCTTTTGCCTTCTTTTTTTGTTGTAGTTAATACTCCGTAGAAGAGCCTTTTCCATGTTCCCAGCAGGTTAATGTAACATGTATGTTCATACTGTATGTATGACTAGAGTAGTAGAATAAGGATTTGTCAGTGCTAGATCACCAACATCAATCAGACATAAAAATAATTGTTTGATGGCATCACAGGATGTTCCTAACCATGATTGTTTCTGTGGGGGTGTACTTGTGTGCCTGTTTTCACCTTTTAAAAGAAAAGCATTTGAATCCAGCAAAACAACAACAACAAAAAAGGTACAAATAAAATTTGGTTACAAAGCAAAATTAAAATTGAGTGGTTTCTTTTAGAGATTTTTGACATCTCGAATAAGGTGGTATTTCCAAAGCACGGGTTATTCTTTATGCATTATTTTAATGATTTCCTCATGGTCACAATCATATCATTTTTCTTCCGTCTGGCTGGGGGAACCAAGCAAGACCAGTCGGGGAAGTACCTTAGCCTGAAATAACCACAGATGCTGGCCAGTTTTCCCCTTGTCCGCCTGGTTTTGTTAAGGAGAAGCACAGCTAGGCCTCCCCCACCATCAGCAGCCCTGAGTAGGAATGCCGGCAGCTGCATCTGGAATTCTTGTAGATAAGCTGGTGACTTGCTGATCGCAGCGTCGCTTTCCTTTGTGCTTCGGAATCGCAGTGTAACAAAGCTGTGTGCAGCTTTTGGGTGGGTCCCCTCTGTGGTGCGGACTGGTGGACTCCACGTGTTAGTCACACAGCCTCGAGAGGTTCAGTCTGCTTGTGTTTGAGCTCCGTTGTTCCGTGGTGGGGAGGGAAGGAGGATGTCCTGGTTATCCCTACCCCTACAATCAAAGCCTGCAACACTGCAAATAATATTTCATCCAGCAGAACGTTTAGGAGCATGGT